GGTGACAAAGATTTGTCCTGACTGTGGGCCAGGCAGGAAAACTTTAGCTACACTTGACCCTATGCAGAGTCAGTCACCTGGGAAGGGGAACCTGGACTAAGAAACTGCCTACATCAGACTGGTGTATCTGTGAGGCATTTTCTTAATTGCTAATTGATGTGGGAGGATCCATCCCACTATGGTGGTACTAACCCTAGGCAGCTGGGCCTGAGCTGTGTACTCAGCTGTGGCAGCTGAGTCAAGCCAGAAGGAGTGAGCCAGTAAACATCTTCATTGCTCCAGGGTCTCTGCTTCAGTTCCTGCTTCCGGTTCCTGCAGTGGATTCCTGCCTTGGCCTCCCTTGATGCAGGACTTAAGTTGGAAGTGTCTGCTCGCCTTTTCCTTTGCCCACTGAGCCATCCACCCAGCCCTGCAAGAAAGAACAAATAGTAGAATCACTCTACTCCTTGATTTGGTGACAGCTGTCTGGCTGTGTCTGTCAAAACTCACTACACCATACTCTTTAAAAAGGGAGAATTTTCCTGAATATAATTAATATCTAAATGAGCCTAACTCTAAAACAAAGCAAAAGGCCAACCAGCAAATGATTCTAATCCAGACAGGGTGCTTTTGTAGAATAAAAGCAGATGTCTGCTCACACGAGAAGGCTTAACAAAACTAACCAAAGAACTTTCAACGCCAGCGTGAGGTTAGCCGGGTCTTTGTTTCCTACCTGTGCATGGTGGCTTCAGAACAGTCTCCAGTGGTGAGCACTGCTGTGAGCCAGGCATCAGCATGCCCAGGGGTGTTCCTGGGCCACCCTGTTAGTGCTGGCTAGCTGTGAATAGCTGCTCGGGCCCCCAGCTGCACACTGTCCTTCTGTGGCAGAAAGCTTATGTTCAGGGCCAAAAACCAGGCCCCAGCCACAGCCTCCCCTGGGTCTCCATAGTTATCCTTGAGCAAGGAGACAATGCAACATTTCGGGTTGCACCAACCCCTCATTTTAAAACAAAGGCCTAAATGAAAGGGCAGGTGTGCCCGGAGCCCTCCTCCATGACGAGCTGTAATTCTCAACAGAGTCAGACACGCTTGTTCTTGTGAATTAGCACAGAGCACAAGGCCTTTACCACGGTGCTAATTGCTATTGGGTGTAAACAAGAAGTCCCAGTATGTGGGCACGAGGCAGGACAAAACAGATGCCAAAGCCATTCAGGGCCCTGCCCTGCACGGGCGGGCGCTGTGCTGGTGGCTGAGAGCGACTGTCTAAATGTCAGTCTCCTGTGGGCCTGGTCCTGAGCAGTCCTAGCTGAGTAACCCAGCAAGGGCACGTCCTTCCTCCTCCCGGCCATAGTGTGATGCTCGGCACTCCGCTCTGCCTTCCCACTTACTCACACAGTGTTAGAAAAACGCACACCACCTACAACTTCTCCCCCTAAATGCTACAGGGCAGAGAAGTCACTCCTTTGCAAGGGAGAGCCAGCTGCAACCCAAGGATAACTTGGCCCACCAAACTTCTATTTTAAAATGTCTTTAATGAGCATAGTTATACATGATGGGCTTCATTTTCATTCATGTATATTTTGATCCTATTTGATCATCCCAACTGCACTCTCTTACTCTACTCGCACTGATCCCTTCCTCTTCCCAACCAGCCCTTCTTCCACGTTTCTACTTTCGTGTGTGTGTGTGTGTGTGTGTGTGTGTGTGTGTGTGTGTGTGTGTGTGTGTGTGTGTTCCAATGGGTTTCACTAGGAACACTTACAGGAGCATGAGTGATGGTTGTTTACAGGAACATTAGCAACTTCCCAATGGCTAAACCACTGAAGAAAGCCAATCCCAATCCCTACCACCACCATACTTCCAGCTCAGGCCACCACATTTCTTTAAAAGCATCAGTCTAGGCAAAAAAAAAAAAAAAAAAAAAAAAAAAAAAAAAAAAAAAAAAAGAGGGTTGTTGCTCATTCATTGTGGGGTGCAAAATTGGTCTGCTTCCTTCTTTGTGCTCCGTCATGCCTTCCCAACCTTCACTACAAACATGTAGAGGGAGAAATAACTAGGAAAAAAGTTTTCTGGAATCTTCCAGACCTAAAATGGGTGATCTGTTCTCATGTTTAATTGCAACAGACATACCCATGCAGGTGGAGAGGGGCCTTCGGAGATTGGAGACATAAATGCCCATCTTCGTTGGTTTCAAATGTTCCTTTGGTAAAAAATGAAAGGCTTGGGGGAAGCACACAAGGCCTCAAGCCTCCACAAAGAATTATAAGCAACTGAGGAAGGCTGAAAGTAAGAGAAGAGCACACCAACTGGCCCGCCAACACCAAAGGGCCAGCCCTGAAATACACGCAAGTAACATCATACAGACTGAGCGGTTTGTACCTATGAATGTGTGTGTGTGTTTATGTGTGTATGTATGCATGTATATATGCAATGACAATTAATGAAAAAAGAGACTGGCTTTGAAAGAGAGACAAGACAGATGTGTGAGAGGGTTTGAAAGGAGAAAGTGAAGGGGGAACTTTGTAAATATCTTACAATTTCAAAAGGTAGAATTAGAGGACATAGACCTGAAATGTAATGGGAACCAAGAAGTTCTTCTCCATTTGTTTCTAAGAATGGCACAGATACCTTGAGGAGACAGAGGGAAGGTTACTAATAAAACCAAGTAAGTGAAGAAATGAGGGCGGGTAACACGGTTCAGTGGGTAAAGGGCTTGCAGTACCAGTCTGACAACCAGGGTTCGATTCCCAGAACCCACATACCAAAAGGTGTCCTCGGACTCTACATACATGCCATAATATGAGTGTTCATACACACACACACACACACACACTCTAAAATCAATTATTTTTTTTCTTAAGGAGAAATTATGGGCAAGAGAATAGGGAATGAAAACATAAGGTCCTCTGACTCAAGAAACTCAATCCAGGCTTCATCTCAGAGGATGCTCTTCCTTCTTACTAAGATCTTCCAGCCAATGTCAGGCCCTATGGGAATAATCTAATGACGGTGTGATTTGTGTGGCCCATAACCGGGGCTAGAATATGGGAGGCAAAGGGTGGGACAGAAGGAATTCTGCAGCCACAGCTGACCCCAGTCACTTGCTGTTGCTACAATGTTCTGGGATTCTGGAAAACATGGATTTTCTTTGCTTTACAAGGTCCTAGGCAGAGGCAAGGGTTTCTGGGAAAGAAAAGACCAAGGCCAAGCAATATGTGGGAAAGAAAGTCAGTCTTGGGGGAAATCAGTCCCCATCTTTCATATTACGTTGTAATTGTGTGCTTAGTGAAGTGGTCAACTTTGAGTTCATCACCGGTAGGCTTTTGCTATGGAACAAAGAAGTACAAAACTTACTGACTCGATACAACAAGCATTTGTTATTTAGCTCATTGGCTGTAGGTTGGCTGGGGTGCCTGAGTCCTTACATCATCTCTCCTGCTCTGGGACAACTCAGTTGTTCTCTGTGGTCTTGGGGCTCAAGGATCTGGGGGGATCTTGCATATATGTCTGGCCACTGGCCAGTTGGTTAGTATATGAGGGCCCCCACCAGGGCCTCTCAGATCAACTCCATGTATAGTCTCTCATCCTCCCACAGCCTACCCCAGGCTTCTTCACAGGGCAGAGCACCTTCTAAGAGATCGAAAGCAGAGAGTTTGAGATCCCTTATGACGAAGGCTTGGGTCTCATATTGCATCATTCCAAAGGGGAAATAAACCAATTTGCTTGATAAATGTAGCTACAGGAACTCATAGGCTATAAATCTACCACAGTTAGGCCGGAGAAATGGCCCCGTGGTTAAGAGCACTGACTGTTCTTCCAGATGCCCCAGGATGGATTCTCAGCACCCATATGTCAGCTTCAAACCATCTGAAATTCCAGTTCCAGGGCATCTAATGCCCTCTTCTGGTTTCCATAGGTACCAGGCACACACATGGTGGTACATAGACATACATGGAGCCAAAACACCCCTATACATAATAAAACAATAAAAAGAATTGTTTGAACCCATCATAGCAAATGATCTGGGCATGTTCTCTAGGGTTGATACTGGAGCTGACCATTTTGGCAAGACAGGGTGGGCAGTGAGTCCCTGGGCTTCACCTCTCTCCAACCCCAGTCCCAGGGTAACAAAGACACATCAACATGGCCAGCTTGTACATTAGTTCTGAAGAGATGAACTCCAAGTCCTCATTCTTATGTTACAAGCACTTTACCGCTGAGGCACCTCACCAGCTCATAGCTGTGTGTTTTGATTTTTTTTTTAAATTAGTACCATATTTTTGACATGATTCTTTAATCTTTTGTGGTTAATAAATATTCCAGCATATGGATTTAAATAATTTATCCATCCAGACCCCTGTTGACATATCAGTGGGCTATGCCCAATCTTTTGCTTCTCCATATAATACTATAGTTAATAACTTCACATATAAGTCAGCAGTAAATGTACCTGTTGAGTGGGAAATTGCTGTTGAACCCATGATTGCTAGGTTTAGGTTGTGTGCCAATAGCAGGAAACATACCTAGCACCCTGATCTTGATTCCCTAAATACCATTTTCCACTTAAAGGGATCAAGAACACTTGGAGAATGGACAGTTCCAGAACAGAACGGGGAGGTACATCATAGACCTGGGATGTCTTCCTGTGTCAGAAAGGTGGTCAGTCAAAATGGAAATCTGTCCAAAGATACAGGTGCCAGTTCCAAGGGTGATGAAGCATGGGAAAATTGAACATCAAAGTACGTAAAGATAGGTACAAACCATTAATTAAATCCATGAGTCCTTGCTGATATGAATAGCATATTCCAGTCTCACAGTATCTCTCTGAAAGATACTTAATAATTACAAAGTGAAAATAAAAACCCAGAAGACACTGCTATAATGAAATCGTTTTTAAAAATAGCTTCAAATGCCACAGGACACATAGTGCATCTACATATTTACAGTAACATATCACATCTCTGATACTTTCTAAAAAAAAAAAAGCTTGGATCTTTCTGGGCAGTGGTGGCACACGCCTATAATCCCAGCTCTTGGGATGCAGAGGCAGGCAGATCTCTGTGAGTTCGAGGCCATCCTGGTCTACAAAGCAAGTTCCAGGACAGCCACAGTGGATACACAGAGAAACCCTGTCTTGGGAAACTAAAAAAGAAAAAAGAAAAAAAAGTATATGTTTAAAAAGTGTGTGTGTGTGTGTGTGTGTGTGTGTGTGTGTGTGTGTATAAAAAAAATATGTATATATTAAAGTATTTATAAGTATAAAAAAACTTGAATCTAATCACGAGGACCTCAAAAGCCAAAACTGAGGGACTCGACTGAGGGAGACTCTATAAAGTAACAGAGCAAGCAATACTTTTCAGAAGTATGAGATTCTTGAAGACTTAATTAAGGATTCATCCATGTTAAATGAGACTGGGGCCTGGAGAGATG